CATCTTCTGAACGAGTACAAAACCTCCCGAACAAAAACACACGTGAACAGGGTGGAGAAACTAGCGATCTCTTATGTAAACAGATGCATATGAAAAATAATGCGATCATCAGCAATAGACGGCATATAAATGAAAACTGTAGTTTTCCGGGAAGTGTTGATCCGGGAAGTGGTATATGTCTGTGCAAGCTTTGGAGGTGTTGATGGAAGCGATTTACTGGATTTATACTTTGATAATCGTACTGAATATTACCCAGATGTAGTTTTTGATAAAAATTTGATTTTCTCACCTTTTTGCTCAAAATTATGAATTTTTTATGAAACCAACCTATATTCAAGTGTTGATAAAAAAAGAATGCTTTAAGCTAGAATAAACCTTTTTGTTTAAAAAAAGTAGAGGTTCTGATCTTTATTTTGGTGTATTGCATATTCAAATATTCATACAGCAAAATATACTGGAGGCCATCAAATTTTAGTGAATTTTTGTGAAATTTTAGTGAAATCATCAAAATTGCTGGCGGTGGCTGGCAACTTTTTTCAAAAATGCTGTCGGGGAAAGAGTTAAGATCACAATAAAGCTAGATATCAACCAGCAATGTGTGAAATGGACTGAATGACCAAATAAAGTCAGAAACCATGTTAAAGTAACTGTTCTAAATGTAAAAGACAGAGATGGAGAGGCTAAGCTGTGGTTACAGCATCTCACCTTCTCCATATACTGGGAGCAGGTGGACTCCTGCAGCAGATTGGAGGCTTCCTGTTTGTAATACTCGCCGGTTTTTGTCAGGAACGGCCCCTCAAAGACTTCCTGATAAAACTAGGGTAAAGGGGAAATAAAGGGTGTGGCCTCCAAATGAGATGCATGATTGCTGATACACAAACTCTGAGCATGCAAAGAAGTACACAAATGTTTGTGGTCGGTAAGATGTTTTTATGTTTTTGAAAAAGTCTCTAGACTGCATTTATTTGATCACAAATACAGTGAATATTATTACAATTTGAAAGGTTCTCTATTTGAGTATATTTTAATATGTAATTTATTTCTATAAATTAGTCAAAGCTGAATTTTCAGCACCATTACTGCAGTCTTCAGTGTCACATGATCTTCAGAAATCATTCTAATATGCTGATTTGCTGCTCAAGAAACATTTCTGATTATTATCAGTGTTGAAAACAGTCGTGCTGATTAATATTTTTTGTGGAAACCATGATACATTTTTTGTAACATTATAAACCCATTTACTGTCACTTTTGATTGATTTAATGCATCCGTGCTGAATTAAAAGTGTTTTGCCTTTCAAAGAAAATTAAAATTAAAATCTTGCTGACCCCAAACTTTTGAATAGTAGTGTACAAAAAGCCAAGACATTTCAATTTTTCTACAAATGACTGAAGTTTCATGTTTGCACAACGAAAAGTGACACATAAAAAAGCATCTAGAAAGAGGCACTCACCTTTAGAGGAAACTTTTTCTTGTACTGTTCAACATGAACAAAGGAGTTGATAACCCCGTGGATTACTTTCTGATTTGGGTCCTCCCCACTTCGGTCACTATGGAAACAACATCCAAACTGAATACATCTGCAAATGCATCCTCAAACAATTTATACTGGAATATAATCAATAAAACTGAACTTGGGTTCAGGCCAGGCTATCATAGCAAGTATTTGTGGCACCAAAGACTCGTGCCGCAGGTAATTAATTCAAGTGTCACACTGCCAGTGTGAGAGAGGCTCGCGACAGCTGACGGGTTTGTCGATCGGGCCACTGCTGTGTCGTCATGAAAGTTTATCATTTGCGTGTGTTTTTAAGCCTTGCAAATTAAAAAATTCTAGCTACATTCAAGCAAGACAGCTCTATTCAGTACTCACACACACAGAGCTTGAACAGACAAATACATTCAAAAGTATGTCAAAAATACCCGTCTTGGCGAGTAACTTTGTAGCTTAATCTCTATTTCATTTATACAGCGGAGTGCAGATGCACCGGTCGACCAGACATTTGTTTGTTTTATTTCAGCCGATCTCTGTTCTGGACTTGCACACAAACTGCACTGCAATCATTTTCCGAAATGTCATTTACATTTACTAAGTCTGTAAACGGCCGTTAACAGAGGCCAGAGATGCTGAAGACTGATGCAGAGAGGAGAAAATACTGTAGCAGGCGGAGCGAAATATTGGAAGAAATTCCTAAATATTGATTTGGGGGTTTATATGAATGCATCTCTGAGTGGAACTGTCTTCAGAGACGTTTACATGGCGTTTTCTTTTCATCTCGTCTCTGTATAACGCACATTAAAGTAGTGTTATTAATAAGCGCAGCTCTGCTTTGTTTACAGCAGTAAACATATACCGAGGAAATGCTGAATCGCTGCTGTCAGAGAGTGAATCTGCGTCTCATTCAGCCCGTCTGCTGTTTTTCATACAGCATCATTTCATTTGTGTCTTTGTTCTCTATATTCAATCGTGCTATTGCTTGTAATTTGTTCATTTGTTCTTATTTACTGATTGTTCACTTGTCTTTCATAATGTTTGAACTTTATATTTGTTAGGATAGTAGTTTTTGTGAAATTTAATTGGTATATAAAATGTGTGTCATTTGTGACCCTGGAGCACAAAAGCAGTCTTAAGTTGCTGGAGTATATTTGTAGCAATAGCCAACAATACATTGTATGGGTCAAAATTATAGATTTTTCTTTTATGCCAAAAATCATTAGGATGTGAAGTAAAGATCATGTTCCATGAAGATATTTTGTAAATGTCCTACCGTAAATATATCAAAACTTCAGTTTTCAGATTTTCAAATAGTTGTATCTCTCTTGAAATCGCATCATATGACCCCTTTAAGACTGGTTTTGTGCTCCAGGGTCACATATAAGCTTATTTATTAGACTAAAAAATAACATGGGTCAAAAACAATGATAACAGCAACTATTTAATTTTTTGTGGCAGCAGGACCAGTTAAAATTTTGTCAGGACAAGTAAAAATTTGAACCACTGGCGCGACCGGACCAGTAGAAAAAAATAGCGTTGATCCCTGTAATTGATCCCTTAGCGTTGATCCCTGTAATTATTTTGTTTTAGTTTGTAAAACCAAACCGAAAATAACTTTTTTCAGCAATACACAATAACAACAAGCAAATGGGCGGGATTGTTTAAAAGCATAAACGTGAAGCTTGTATTTTTCAACAGCACTTGTTTGAGCTACAGTGCAAATGAAATATTTTCCATAATTCATTACTATACCTTTAAGCTTTAAAATAGATTAAATATTAGTTGATAAAAACAAAACAAAATAAAATATTTCAGGTTCACCTGGAATTTTTATTTATTTTTTATTGAAATTGTATCTTTTTTTATTATTTTTTATTATAAATTTTATTGAAATAAATAAAAATGTACCATGTTAAATTATTTCCTTCTGTTTTAAAGTTTGACTTACTTCTTGATCTCTTTCAGAAGCATCCCGATCAGCATCGGTTGAAGGGGCTCAATCATTAACTTCCGCCACATGTCAAGTGCAAGCTAAAAACACAACAAAAACATTCATTATAAACCATTATACTGTTCATGAAAGAATAAACACCACAATTTGACATTTGAAATGTGCATAGCTTAACATCCAATCTGTTCACATCAAAAAAAAAGTTCACATGCCAACAGCCTGTGTCATAAGATACTGTAAACACACGGCACTAAAGTCTGATGCATCTGATTATGAAACCATGCATACTTCTCCGATCTCCATTAACGGCTCATTCATATCCACGCCTCCGTATCCGTACTGCAGGTCTGCTTCGGTCAGCTTGTTCTTCTTAATAAACTGTGTGTTGAGGTACCTGTGGGTAAATTCAGGGAAAAACAGTTGCTATTATTTTAGTTGAGTATGTGAATGTTGAAGCACAATAAAGCCACGGGTGACGTGCTTGTTTTCACAGCTGACCAAGGCCAGCGGGACAGTGATGGGGTTCAGTCCAGCATGGTGTAATCAAGCAGAAACTGGTCAAAGCCCTTGTCCAGGACGAGCTCTGCATGCCAGAGAAACCATACCTTGTGCACTCAATGAACCGTCTGAACCAGTAATAATGAAATGTATGATTTTAAATAGAACACACAATGGCATGCTAATGCACTCTTACCAAGAATGTATTAAGCATACTGTGCACTGTATGCAACTTTTCTGCATAAGAATAGAAGAACAGAATAACCGGATTACCTACTATTGCGTTTGCCAAAATGTGCAGAATACAACAGGCACACTTCAGGGAATACTGTATCCCACAGTGCAATGCTTCACCTGCCATTGCAACAGTTCCTAATTAACTAAAAGCAACATCAACCGTGATTTTAATATCTCTTTGGTGACATATTCGTTTGTTCCATCAAAAGTTCACAAAATTTTACACTAAACTAGATTAACTAGATTGAACTACCAAAATGTTTGGGGTCAGTTATTTATGGGCTAATTTTCATTTTTGGGTGAACTAACCCTTTAAAGAAATTAATACTTTTATTCAGTAAGAAATTGAACAAAAGTGACAGTAAAAACATTTATCTTGTTACAAAAGCAAATCAGTATATTAGAATGATTTCTGAAGGATCATGTGACACTGAAGACTGCAGTAATGATGCTGAAAATTCAGCTTTGATCACAGCAATAAATAGATATTTTAAATTGCAATACTATTTCACAATATAAGTTTTTCTGTTTTTTTTTCTTCATCAAATAAAACTAGTCTTTGTGAGCAGAACAGACTTTCAAAAATATTAAACATTTTACCGACCCCAAACTTTTGAACGGTAGTGTGTACTAATATACTGTAGGTTTTATGTTACTACTTAATTGAAATTGACTGACTTTCTTACACTAAAAGCCAAGGAAATGTTAAACCAAGGTTAAACACCAATCATCTAATTCTTTGACATCCAGGCCATTATTAAATAAGCATTCACCATCCAAGTATCACACCAGCACTAACACAAACACCATTTACCAACCAAAAACTCTAAAGTCAGTGCAATTTGCTTCAAAATTAAAAGTGAACTAGCCACACCAAACAGAATGGCAAGAATAATGACAGTTTCCAAATACAGCAGGTTTTCCAAACACTCCTAATGTCAACCATCTGATTCTGTTGTGCAAAACAGGCAGCATAAGCATTTCATTGGTCAGTCTATGACCTGCATATGTATACAGCTGTTGTCTCTGCACATTAAAGGGACAGTTCACCCAAAAATGAAAGTTCTATCATCCTTTACTTACCTTCAAGTTGTTCCAAACCTTCTTTTCTCATTTGAATACAAAAAAAAGCCAAACCGTTTCAGTTCTCATTGATTTCCATACTATGCAAGTCACTGTTTGGTTACCCACATTCTTTAAAATATCTTCTTTTGTGTTCAACAAAGAAAGTTTGGAACAACCTGAAGTGAAGTAAAGGATGACACAACTTTCATTTTTTGGGTAAACAATCCATTTACACTTGGCTCAGACTGAAAAATATTGCACACATCACCTTTAATGTCCTTCACAGAGTTGCCTGCTACAGTAGCTGAACTCACCTGTATAAGCAGTCCATGTACTCAGCGCCTTTGCTGTATTCCTCCCAGTATCTGTGATACATCCCCAAAACCTTCTCCTCCGACTCCAGGACTCTCTGTAAGACACACACACCGCAATGATGCAAGACACCCACAATTAAACCGTAACGACACTGGCCTGAGCATCACTCGTTCTCACCTTGAACAACTGACGGACGTGATTTTCCAGAAACACCTTCGTCTCAGTGTACAGTCTTTCCCCTAAAGGCTCTGGATATGCAACACACAGCGCATAGATGTCACTAAAGCTCACGTTAAGGAGATTTTAATGCAGGATACATGAAGTTACACTACCATTTAAAAGCTTGCGGTCAATAAGACGCGATAAGAAGCCTCTTATGCTCACCAAGCATGTGTTTATTTGATCAGAAATACAGTAATATTATGAAATATTATTACAATTTAAAATAACTGTTTTATATTTGAATATCTGTTAAAATGTAATTTATTTCTGTGATGTGCAGCTGAATTTTCAGCATCATTACTCCAGTCTTCAGTGTCACATGATCTTCAGAAATCATTATAATATGCTGATTTGCTGCTCAAGAAACATTTCTGATTATTATAAATGTTGAAAACAGTCGTGCTGCCCAATATTTCTGTGGAAACCGTCATGCATTTTATTTTTCAGGATTCTTTGAAAGTTCAAAAGAGCAGCATTTATTTGAAACGGAAACCTTCTGTAACATTATGAATGCCTTTACTGTCACTTTTGATCAATTTAATGCATCCTTGCTTTAATTTCTTTTGAAATCTTACTGACCCCTAACTTTTGAATGATAGTGTGTATATAAAGTAGATAAAAACAAAAATAAAATATGGCTTTGCACACTCATAAAATAGATTTTTTTTTAAATGAGATTACAAGAAACAGGGAAAAAAAGATGAAGCAACAGTTTCATTGCACATCATGTAAATCAGGACAAGAGTGCAGGATACGAGAAGCGGTCGTTCCATGTTGCTCTCTCCACGTAATCAAGCATCACAACCGCTCTGATTGTCGTCAGGAGCTTGTTCCACGTCTCATCGAAATCCACCACCCGCGGTTTTAAGGACATGGTGCGTGGCTTCGGCTTTATCTGGGGCAAAAGACACGAAAACACGGTGACAGTGAATTCATTATAGCATTCTCATTAGTGTTCTTGTTAACTAAAACTATTATCAAACAAGATATTGTATGCGCTCCAAAAAGATAACCAGTCCGTTCTCAGGTGCGTAAATCAAGAAAAATTTGATCAACCAAAAAACAAAAATGTCCGCACACTGGAAGACATACAATTAGACCAAGACAACTGTCTATCATAAAAATTACTTTAATTTAACATCTATAAGGTGACAAAAGTGCAAAAAAGTGTCTTAAAAACAGACCAGATAGCAGACGCTTCAGCTCATGCTCAACTAAAACTAAAATTATTAAAAAGTTAAAAAAAATGTAAACAAAGCCAAAATAAATTGCAATAAGTTGACTAAAAGTAAAACTGAAATAAACTAAAAGCTAAACTAAAGAGAAAAGCACATAACAAAAAAACTACCAAATCTTAAACTAAAAATAAAATGAAAACTAAAATTATATCAATACAAGCTAATTAAAAATATAAGGGTCAAAGACGAAAAAGGGTTTTAAAGCATCAAAACAATAAAAGTTTAATACAGCTTTAAATTTAGTTTCCCCCCCCAAACATTAGAATGGGTCCCGTTTAAGTTTAGTTTTTAAGAGCAAACAATCATATAGCAAAAAATCTTTTCAGGCATATTTAGAGCAGGAATCATTAATGACATTAAAGCTCTCTATTGAAGGATCACAGTGCAGTCCCGCAAAAACTGACTCATCGTCATTTTAAATCTTTACCAATCTTTACTCATTAGTTAGCAAGAAGTTTTTAATCATTTAAAATAGAATACAATTTAGTCTAGTTGATCGTTATTTTATGCACTTTTTTTCTTTTACATTAATATGCTGTTTCAGTTTTACATAAATATATCCGTTACGTGAATGACGATGGAACATTACTTCACCTATACTTTGACATTTTATTTTCACAAAAAATATTCGAAACATTAAAGCAGACACTTTATTTGCATCTTTATCTGCATAAATCACTTCTGTCAATTTAATTAGATGTGGTCACCAAAATGGGATGGCCTCGTCTTTGACCCATAAATAAATACATTAATAGTATATAAATAACACTAACAAATTTTAATGAAATCCATGCGTTTCCAGGACATCTGGAAGATGAACTGAATGGATAAGGATTTTTGTAAATGGATTTTATAGAGAATGTTAATAGAAAGAGAATGTGTGAAGTTCAAGTTAACAACGAGTACAGATTTGTAGTTTTTTTTCATACATATATATATATATATATATATATATACATAAACCTCCCCATTCTCAATATTTCAGCACTAGTGTCGCCCAAACACTTGTGTATATGTTGTGTGATTTCCTTTGACAGGTCTGTCTAGAAGAGTTAGAAGACACACACATCTGGCTTCTGCACTAAACAACCATAAACCCAGGACCTACCCTCACTAACTTTATTAGAGTAACTGATTGTCATAACAAAGACAGATCCGTAAAGATCAGCTTACTTCAGAGCTCCATAACCTCAGTGTCAACATCCAGCACAGCTGCCAAAGCACATCTAAGTATAAATGTCACCTGATGTACACAGAAATATCTCTAGAAGTAGCCAAAGCAGATGAGTTTCCATCTCCAACAAACCCACAGATACTTGGTCTGAAAGAGAGTCACCCCCAAAACTGCAGAGGCCTAGTTACACACCCCCATATGACACAACTGCATGAAAACAGAGGCAGCTGGGTAATCATAACCACGCGTGATTAAATAACAGCCGTGTATCGAGGTAAACAAGTATGGAACGGCCGTGTTTACGTGCGTTTCTGACAGAAACACAGTGTTGTGGAGCAGAAACAGCGGCTAACGCCAGTGCTAACGTGAGCGCCGCTGGTTCACACGCACACCTGAGATTGAGAAAAAGCACCGCTGAGCTGCGAGTCTCGGGCGGTCGGGCGGCTCGGCTGCGTCGGCTCTGGATGCGCTGTCCGCGGCTCGGTGTGTCACCGCTGTGGGTCTGGAGTGAAGCTGTCAGGACGCTCGGATCCTCTCTCTCCCTCTACACCTCTGCCATTGCCTCTCACGGACTGCACCACTGCGTCAGCTGGAGGGGGAGCGCGAGGGCGGTTCAGGATGGATACAGCTATTAGAACCCTAAATCTACGCGAGACGTTTAATATACGTTTATTTGGAAACTTACACATATATTATGTATGAATGGGTCATGGTGTGCTTAAAATGAGTAATCACAATGCATGGCTGTTTTTAGCGGACTCCCCCTTTTGCTGGTGGTATGAGCGAGAAGTACGGCAGCTGTTTGCGGACATTAGTCGTGACGGAAGAGGTGTGAGAGATGGCGTTGTGGACTCGACATTAGAGAAAGAAATTCAGCAATTGTGATTCCTCTTAACGATTCCAGGTCCTTAACGGTTGCATTAACGATCATTATAGTACTTTTTTTTTTAGAAAGATGAAAAATGTTCGAAAAATACTCACCTCGTGCATTTTGCATGAAAAGCATACTTGAGTAAAAGTGCAGGTACCTTACAGTGACACTGACTCAGTTACAAGTTACTACTCACCAACTCCAAAACAACTTGAGTAAAAGTCTTAGAGCATGTGATTTTAACAGTGCTTCAGTATTTTACTTATACTAAATACAGTCTCAAAGATGCACTAGTCAAGGAGACGTGGCAGTGAAAAACTAGAAAGTTGATTTGTGAGGAGAGCAATCAAGTTTATTTTCTAAAACCACAATGAAACTGAACACCTCAAAATTGCAACAAAAAAAAAAATCCCAAATCCTTCAAAAAGTCTCTTCAGTATAACGGATAAATAAAATAATGTTAAGTAGAATTAAAAAGTCAAATTCTTCTTGCACTGGATGTGCTGGTTTGGGCCTCATAAATAAAACACCTGTGATTCACAAATACTTGCTAAGGAACTCGCATGCACTTAAAGTAGCCTTGTTGACAAGTTTGGGTGGGTAAGAGCAAAGCGCACAAGATACTGTAGGCTACTTTCAGTGCCCTGTAGTTGGTGATATCACGTCTTTTGTAGCAGAAATGAACTGCTGCAGAAAAAGCTAGGTGCCATGCAAAATGTAATGAGTAACTGCAACACTCATTTCAAATGTAGTGGAGTAAAGAGTAAAGGTTGCTAATATCTTTGATACTCAGTAAAACTACAGAGCATCCAAAAAGATACTCAAGTACAGTAATTAATTACATTTATTCAAATACTTTACACCTCTGCCAGAATTAAATGTAAAAGGTCTTTATAATGGCTTTTCACAGTCATTTTAAAGGTGGCGAATTAATATGGGGCCTTCTAACCTTAAAAATTCTGTATTTGTGTGAACTGTTGTTTAAACTCAGTGTTTTGTAGAACATAAAGATACGATTCCAGGTTTTTAAATAGTATTGAGATCTATTATATATCTATATATGTTAAATAAAAACTTTAAAAGAAACCAGTTAATAATAATAATATGGCAACATAATGAAAGTAAGGCAAATAGTTAAAGAATTTTTAAAAAAGGCCTTAAAGCAGCACTATGTATCTTTTGGCGCTCTAGCGGTTAATAAACAGAACTGCACACATCCCGCGGAAGAACATTCCAACCGGAGCTACTTCTCTAAGTTTATGTCTATGGCGATTCACGCAGGTATGTGTTACTCCGCAGCGGTGACCAGGCTACAATAGTCCAAATATAAGTACTTATTATAAGTGTACCGTAGTGATTCGGGATAAGACAAAAACGCGGTTTGGAAGATTAATTCATGATGTACTCGCTCATTATATGCATTTAGCAAATTTTGAATACAGAAAAAGTTACATAGTGCTGCTTTAAAAAGCTTGGTCATCCAAAAAAACAACAAAAAAAGTATACAAATTAAAATCACAGGTGCAAAAAGATGCTAAACCTTCTAAATACAGCCGACACATCCCTAAAGTAGAGTACGAGTCTATATACTGGGGGAGGGAAAGAGTTACAGAGATTTCGGGTCTTTAATTGTCCTACACAATCTAGGAAGGGTCCACAAATTTTATAGAAATTATCAGAGGATCTCTTCATTGTGTGTCTGATTTTTTCTAGTTTAATGAAATGGAAAATATCTTTAATCTATAAAGAAAGAGTAGTAGGTACAGGCGGTTTCCAGTTTAGTAAAATTAAACGTCTTGCCAAAAGTCTGACAAAGGCTACGAAATCAGACTAATATTTGGGCATATCAAGAGACGGGGGAAGGGTACCAAATACAGCTGTGAAAGCCAGAGGTTCAATATGATGTTTAAGAACTTCAGATAAAGTTTTAAAGATCTGGGACCAATATTCCTGTAGAGATGGACAGGTAAAAAACACATGAGGGATTTAACGTGTTTGCCCCCCATTGTGTATATTCAGTTTGATACCATTATTTAATGGCTGACCAGCACGAACTGACACGTGTTCACCCTAAGGAGAGGCACTTGTGTAAAACAGCGCTGGTGACCCCCTGGGAAACACGTGAAGTCGTCTGTAAGTAGTCCAACAGGCCCCTGCTGCAGGCTGTGGTGGACAGATACAGCCTGAGCCACGAGGGTCCCCAGTGCATGGCCCCAGATTTTTATATTTGAGATAATCACTGTTAACACCTTTCATTGTGTGTCTGATTTTTTCTAGTTTAATGAAATGGAAAATATCTTTAATCTATAAAGAAAGAGTAGTAGGTACAGGCGGTTTCCAGTTTAGTAAAATTAAACGTCTTGCCAAAAGTCTGACAAAGGCTACGAAATCAGACTAATATTTGGGCATATCAAGAGACGGGGGAAGGGTACCAAATACAGCTGTGAAAGCCAGAGGTTCAATATGATGTTTAAGAACTTCAGATAAAGTTTTAAAGATCTGGGACCAATATTTCTGTAGAGATGGACAGGTAAAAAACACATGAGGGATTTAACGTGTTTGCCCCCCATTGTGTATATTCAGTTTGATACCATTATTTAATGGCTGACCAGCACGAACTGACACGTGTTCACCCTAAGGAGAGGCACTTGTGTAAAACAGCGCTGGTGACCCCCTGGGAAACACGTGAAGTCGTCTGTAAGTAGTCCTACAGGCCCCTGCTGCAGGCTGTGGTGGACAGATACAGCCTGAGCCACGAGGGTCCCCAGTGCATGGCCCCAGATTTTTATATTTCAGATAATCACTGTTAACACCTGCTATACGCATTAATACACCTTATGATAGGTGCATATGTGCATCAGTCGTCTGGCAATGGACAAACATTTATTCAGTACAATAAGGATATATATCATCATCATTAAGAAAATATATTTAGGTTTTCATTCAAAACTTTATAGTAACTATAAATAATTTACACATCAACTGAAAAAGGTATAAGCGGAAGCCATAAAATTATCTGTAAGCATGTTAAAGATCAGAGATTTCCTTGTAAACTAATTGTATTAAACTCAGAATGAAGAAATGTTTTTCTTTGCATTTTTACAAGTTATTGAACCATTTACACTGATGCCAAACTATGAGAACTCTGAGAAAAGCTTCCTCTGGTGGACAACATATGTCAGTCATTCATGTTGATATAAATAGCTGATCATTTAAAAAGTGCTGGTTTTCATGTGTACCGAGTTTTATGAAGTTTGGACATATTAGTCATTACAGGCCACATCCCAAAATATATATCAGCCCGTATCTGGCAGACAACTGAATGAATCTAAATTTTTCTGATAGCTTTTTGTCAAAGGTGTTTAAAGACATGCACATCTATGGGATGTGCTGGACCAACAAAAACTTGCAAGACTTTGAGGATCTGCTGCTGATGTCTTATAGTGTCAGAAACCATGATGGGACACGCTGGTCTTGTGGAGTCCATGCTTCGACACTGCTTTTCGAAAATTACATATTGTGCCTTTAAGTGCGTCAAAACTGTATTTATTGTTTGAATTTAGTATTAAAACTTACCGAATTTGCACCAGAACACAATCAATGTCAATGTAAATTATTGTAGAAGAAGCTATTTATTTTCTCAGAAGGTGAGTCCTATGTCCTCAAAACATATTTAGGCACATACACAAATGTATGAATGCCGTTCCATTAGACACAACAACATATCAAACGGTCCTGCAAACAAAATCAGAGATTTTTTTTTTTCAGAATAATAATAATAACTTCACCTTTCTGAGACAATTTAAAAATGACCTCTTAGTGTAACCACAGGTGTAGTTCATCACATAAACATTACACTAACGTTTGAAAAACATTAAGTGTCACAATACTTTATCATCATTTCGAACTATAGTTTTATCATATAAGCCTCCCAAAAATGCTAAAATGTTTTGCTTGAAAATTAGGTGTAGGCTATAACCTTTCTTTATGTTTGATTTATTTGTTATAATATGTAATAACATTTAGGCCTAAACATTTTTTATGTTTGTGTCCAAGTACTTTTTAGACCTCCTTTATGTTTGTCGCAAGATCAAAGGAAAGTAAACGTATTGTAAAAAAATTATTTAACTGTTTTTGCGATTGACCTTTATTTTGAAAATATTGACTTTTATTGTGAAAAGTCAACGTCTCCAGTCATTTCCGGGTTGTCAGTCCGTGCATGATAATTGTGTGATGAGACACAGGAAAGGTGAGGCTTGTCAATACTTTACATCCGTGTCTCAGTCTTGTGGCGCAACTAATGTTTATTTTTCTGTTTCATCTGCCTGAGTAACAGCTAATGCACCTTTCATTGTGTGTTCACATGTAACTAAATCGAGATGCAACCAAAGCAGGTGTGTTCAGTCTCCAGCTGTGATTTTGTTATCATATAGATATTCAGACATATGTATATGTCATAGTATATATAATAATTGCAAATAGATAGAGATTGGTTTAGAGCATTTCCATATCTTTGAACATGTACCATGGTATGCAAATACCACGTGATAATGGTAGTAATTTAATGTCATAGTGTTTTATACCATTGCTGTACAACCATAGTACTTTTTATAAAAATACAAAAATGTATTTTTCCAGTAAGTCATGGATCTGAGCATGAAGTCACCCAGTGACCCGAAGGAAGTGGGCGTGTTTCCATCAGCTGCCCATAGCACTGAAGCACAGGAGTCTGATCCGGGTGAGAATGCAGGGTTTATGTTATACATTATGCCAGCTGCATTCATGCATTGCAGTATGTGAACCTAGAGATGCTGATACTGTGCCACCTTGACTTTGATTTCAGTTGGATAACCTAGAGTGGATTCCTGTTTTATTATACTTTACTATACTACAGCTTCACAGCTACAATATGCAATCAGAAACATTCTTGTTTAGCTGTCACATATACTTAACACATGTATATTTGCTGAGAGAGACAACTTAACATTGTCATGTTCCTTTCAAACGTCACCACAGACGACCACGCAAAGAGTCTCTCTGCCAGAGCGAAGCCTTTTCAGTGCTCTCAGTGTGGGAAGGGTTTTTCCCGCATTCAGCATCTGTCCGAACACGTCCGGATTCACACAGGAGAGAGGCCTTTTGAGTGCTTGGTGTGTGGAAAGACTTTCACCCGGGAGAGAGACCTCAAGACCCATCAGATCGTCCATACGGATGCGGAGGCCTTTCATTGCGCGATTTGTGTTAAAAACTTCGCCCTGTTATCCTCCTTGAGAAGACATCTGCGTGCATTTCATCAAGGTACGAAATGTTGCCATGCACTGAATTAAACTACAGACAGTAAGACATTGCAGTAGTTTTACCGTTGTCATGGAGTGTTGTTAGTCCCAAAATGAAAAGGACTGCCAAAACCCCTTTTTATTGTGACTCTGTAAAACCTAGTTGAGGTTATAAAAACACCTGAAACTACTGATCCAGTGTCCTGCCAGTTTATTAGCTCATCCAATCAGATTTTAGCCTCAGAACGGACCATTTTATAAACATCGATTACAATTTATGTCCAGTTATTATTGGAACAGATTTGTTGAGAGAGAAAGCAGATTTGGAGATCCTCTGCAGTGAATGGGTGCCGTCAGATCACATCACAATAATCTGTATAATATACATACTATAAATTAATAATACATAAAGCACAAGTCCATCAATTATCTTGTGAAGCGAAAAGTGTGTTTGTAATAAACAAATCCATTATTAAGACATTTTTAACTTGAAGCTGTTGCTTCTGGCCAAAATACAAGTTCATAATCCATAATAATGCTTTGTCCTGTGAAAGAGTGGTCTGGTCTGAATCAGAGGAGAAAAATGCACAGATCAAGCACTGTTTATAAGCAAAAACAGTCCAAAATATTTCTAAACAAATGTGAGACACAACAGGAGATGGACACTTTTTACTGGAAGAAGCGTAATTATGGATAGAAGCAAAGTTAAAAACATCTTAATGCTGGATTAGTTTCAGCTTTTGTCTTCTCCAGATGTTAACTGATGGACTGGAGTGCTGTGGATTACTTGTGGATTATTGTGATGTTTTTATCAGACTCTCATTCTGACGGCACCCATTCACTGCAGAGCATCCATTGCTGAGACACTGATGCAATGCTACATTTCTCCAAATCTGTTTCAATGAACAAACAAACTGAAACTGAAACTTAAGTATCTTCTCTTTTTGCAGGTCAGGATGTTAGTACAGAGGGTAAGTGTTTAATTTGTGTTGAATGTGGGAAAAATTTTGCATGCCAGCTGGATGAACATGAGCTGACACACACAGGAGAGATTTCCCACCGCTGCCCCGACTGCGTCACACATCTATCCAGTCTCGTATCTCCCGATCAGACCTTCTCTGAATCCGATGACGTGAACCATTTGGACGCTCATGACAATGAGAGGCCTTGCAGCTTTGTGGCCTCTGAAGATCTACACAAGCACTTACAAACTAACGCACTTAAGGACGGTAGTGAATCTCTCTCTCTGGACCTAGTAGACAATATTGAAAGCGAAGCACCTAATGAAAACATTGCCCAAAGTCAGCATGAAGAGGCTGAGAGAGCTCCATCTCCTTCATCTGAGCTCTCTCACAATTCTGCACGTTCTGCTGAAAAGGGTGAGTTTAATAATTACAAAAACCTTACCATAATCATAGTTTCTACCAGGATATCAAATCTCAGAAAGTGGTCCCACTCCAAGTAGCACATTGTGTCATTTTCTCTTCCCAGGCTTTGAAACACTGAATCCTCTTCAAGAGGAAGAGTCTGCAGCTCACCAGCAGGCGCGCGATGAAAACAAGCCGCATCAGTGCAATCACTGTGGAAAGAGATTTCATAAGCAAGCGAAGCTTCGGATCCATCTGCGCGTTCACACCGGAGAGAAGCCGTACCAGTGCTCCCAGTGCGGGAAATACTTCAGCCAAGCAGTAAACCTCAGAAAACACCACCGTACTCATCACACGGAGGAGAGACCCTACCACTGCACACTCTGCAACCGGAGGTTTTCGCTCTCCTTCTCGCTGATAAAGCATCAACG